TTTTAGTCTATCTCATATAAAATATATACTTAATAAAATAAAATAATGATCGCCTATGACTTAATTTTCATTTTAAAGATATCTACAGAAATAAATGTTGAAAAAAATTATAACTTATTCACTCGACATACATAAGTCATAAATTAATTTCAATTCTAAAATAGTGAAATTTTGAAAAAATATAGTTATATCGTAAGTCGGTAAGTAAAAATTAAAAATTTCGTATCACAAGGTATTTACGAATAGCGAAAGATAATCTTATGGTTTTTTTTTTTTTTTTTTTATATCAAATATACTTCGATTTTAGATTCCATTAGGTGTATTAAGAAGTAAATAAAAAAAATAAAAGTTCTTAATTGTTATATTTTAATGTAAAATGTATGATTAATTATAAAGTGTAGTAAGTCCACATGATGAATCATCAATTCGGAAAATAAATTAAGGAAGTTCAAATGCTAATTATTCATTGAATAATAGAAAAATCAAATAATTAATAATGCAAAGTGAGAATAATCAAAATAATATTTTAAGCATTAATCATTCTATAAGCTATTATATCTTAGAAATAATATAAAAATAATAATACTAATGAAATAACATCGAAAGTACGTTTAACTTAGAAAATTTGATATAAGTTTAGATATTATCATAACGGCGCTTGAAGAACAAACATTAGAAAAATTAATACAGAAGTAACATAATAATAACTACATGATAATACTGAATTAAATACTGAAAATTATAATATTATTAATCCGTTGTCAAATATACATATGAATAATCGATTAAAGTAAAATAAAACAAGTCGATATTGAAAGGAAATTAACAAAGCAAATATATCAAATTTAATAAAACCTTGTGTGAGAATTGAAAGTTCATTAGGAATTTTATAAACAATTATTGTTAAAATACTGTATAAACCATATAAGGTAATGAATAATAGGGAAAAAAAAAAAATTTCTTACGAGCTTAACAAACATAATATCCATAACATCATAATGACATTCTCACAAAGTACGCAATAAAAACGTGTACATCGACACTAATGAATACAATCTAATAAATAGATAAAAATGATAGATTAGTTTAATGTAAGAAATATATATTGCATCTAAATAATGAATCGCCCATAATAAATAGATAATAGGATGTTGAGATAGAAATAGAAATAAATGAATGTACGCGAACACACATATGTTGCCATTGTATATTGAATTTTATTTGTAAAAATTAATTGATAAATAGATTATTGTTTAGTTGTAAAAATAAAAATATTGAAACAAATGAAAGTATAGAGAGAAAAAATGTAACGAGGGAATAGATTTTCAATGGTGATTATAATTGAAGAAGACGATAAATATAGTCCAAACAATAAAACTAACCCAATTGTAATACCTAAAGACTATGAAATGATATATAAAATAAATTATAGCAATTGATAACCTTCAAGATGACACATAGATTATATTATCATAGTTATATGCTTTACTACAATAAATTAATGAATCTTTGCTTAACTGTACTTTCACACTCCTATTTTCACATATATTTAACAAAAACATAACAAAGCACAATTCATAAAATTATTTACCTAATTAAAAAAAAAATTAATATATATTAATATTCCATCAAAACCCTGTGCCTATGTAAATGCTTATTTTATTATTGAAAATATTTTATAATGAAAACATTTTTATCAACATTAATATACAATTTCAAAAGTATCAAATAATGCACGCGCGCGCACACACGCACACACACACACACACACACACACACACAAAATTAATTTATTCTCGTTTAATTATAAATAATTAACTATTGATAAGAATAAATTCGTTCAAATTGATAGATTTTTAGAAATAGAGCTTTTGTTATTGAGGAAAACAATGTTCACAGATGCGCAGATAATATTCTTGGAAAATCTAATTACTTAAACTTGTCACAAACATATCCATAAATAATTGAGACGAGAGAAGAAAAAAAACGTCATATTCATCATATAAACATTGTTAAAAACATATTTGGAGGCTAATTATTCCTATTTTCATATAAATCAGAGAATATACAAAAACTACACGTGCTCGGATGTATCTACATGTATATCGAACAAAGATACATAAAAATTTCCTAAATCTTTTAGAAGCTTGAACAATTAGTCGAAGAGTATTCAAAAAAAAAAAAAAAACATCTTGGCGGAAACAGTCGTGTTGCTTATTAAAATAAATTCAATATCACCAAGAGAACCAATCCGCATTTGAAATAAAACTCACATATAAGTGGTTGGGAATAGAATGCAAAATAAAAATTCAAAGCAAAGCTTAAGGGAGACGAAAATCTTAAAATCTTTAGGTTACTGCTGAACTAAATCACACTTTACCAAACTAAAAGAATAAAAAGAAATACACTAGAACCATATAGACTGTAGCACTATGTATAGGAAAACTTAGCTCGCAGAAAAATCTTTTGCAGCTTAATCTAAAGTTAATCTTACGATTCCAAAATGTTAAGCGTATTAATTATAATCGATAAAAGTGTAATATTGACATATGATTAGTTTGGTATATAAAATTTTTACGATGAAACGAGTAATTTGAATTACGAACAAGAAATATAAGAAAAATCAATTAATTAGTCCAATTAATTTCTTTTAATTACAATATACGTGAAATTCATTTGTAATATGTACATATTAAATTGCATTAAAAGATTAAAATATGCAGTTTCTTTAATCATTTTTAGGCTATAATTTCCTAACAATTGATTACGAGAATTTTAATAAAAAGTTAATCTACAAATTATTGTATTTGTAGACAACGATTACGATGGTACCGAGTGTTAATTATTTTTTTACAAGCAACATACGGCAATTCAATTTAATAAAAAGTATATATTATTTATTGGTATTATTTATGTGCTTTTTTTTTTTTTATTTACACGCCGACAGTGTTAACTCGATCGTACATAAAAAATAAATTACCTGCATTAAATTTAACAGATTTTAAAGTATATTATTTTAAATAATTGACTTTGCCGGCGATAAAACGACCTCGGCATAATATTCAATTTTATTTTACAGATATTGTTAATTAACATTGAGTATATTACACCACTGAAAATTGCTAAATCGCTTAATCATGCCGGTATATTTGCAATTATGTCGTATTACGGATGCCATGTAATCGTTATGAAAAAAGCACGCTCGAATGGCAAATATAATCAATATTCAAAACATTCAAATAATAATCGACAGATGAAATTATCAAAATCATATTTCCTAATTCATTATTTGCAATATTACGATATTTCATATGCTATTGAGTGACCGTATTATAAAAATCTACCCATTGCATCACATTAATAACAACAAACGACTATTCTTGTCATTTTCCTAAATAAATTTAGAAAGAAATTCATTATGGCAATTTCTTATTACATTGTAAGCTCATAATCGAATGTCTCATCAGTGTGAATGTAATTCTGACAAATTGCATGCATGTATGCATTATGCTGATTCATTATAATCAAAAGTACTTGTATATTGCAGACGGTATCGTATGTATGCGATACCCTCTCTTTCATCTCTCACTTCTTCGTATCTATTGCATTTGCTGAGCAATTTACATAAGATAATCACGTAAGTACAGGCTTGTGACAATGAATTAGTACGACTTTTAGCTGACGCTCCAGAAACTTTTTAAGGGTCGCCATTTGATGATTACAGTGTATTCATTTATAAATGCTCTCTAAATCTTCTTTTAAACAATGTCTTCGCTTGCTTTCATATCAATAGCATTTGTAAATATTTTATGCCATTCACCTTTTGATGTAAAAATATTTACTTAATATCCTGACGTTTTCTTATCGTTAAAGTACGTCAAAGTCATAATTGTATTATTTTTTTTAAAATAATAATAATAATAATAATAATAATAATAATAAATATCCAGATACTTTGATAAAACTATCTATATGTATGAAAAATTATTATATGTAAAAAAAAAACACGCACGCACGTACGCACGTACGCACGCACGTACGCACGCACGTACGCACGCACGCACGCACGCACGCACGCACGCACATCGAGGTTGTAGCTCAGATCAGAGCAGTTTTTATTGTATATCTGTAGAAATGCTTTGCTACATTAAGATTGAAACAAAAATTTATAATTACATAGTTATAAAGTTAATGATTAATTATTCGATTGAATAAAACAAAATCTAAGTGGCTTTTAGTATACTTTTAACTTTTCATGATATAATCATCTCAATGCACAAAATTGCCAATAATAAGCAAATTGATATTCTAATAATATTATTTATTAATAATAATTTATTTATTTTTGAATTATAATAATTTATGAATTATACGTTTGAAGTAATAGTACATCATTAAACGCACCTAAACTTTTTCCTTTACAAACATTTATAAAATTTATAATATAATTTTGAGTCTCATCCTACTCCATTATACACCATTAATTCTCAATAAATAATATAATAAATAAAACAAATAAATGATAACTATGGAAAAATAATGTGAAAATTTTTTGCAACTTATACAAATGAGTGTTAGATTACGATAGTTGAATATTTAAAATGTCGACATAATTAATAATGTCCTTTCGTCGCATTATAATACCGCGATATTATAAATTTTCCGGGCTGTCGATAATTATTGAAGCTCGAGTGACGAATACACGATTGCTGGGATGGCGAAAGTAGTCGCACATTACTGATAAATGCAAATATTAGCTTCATCGTGTCATTATCGTATCTATAATTCATGCAATGAAAGAATTTAATTGTCTCCTTAGTGAAATGAAGGGGACGAGACCGACCTTAAAGCTAAGCGGGCCATGTTGCGTAATTTCGCAATTGTGCGCAATTGCCATCGATGCAACGTACGTGAAAGTGACTTATTCGGAAAATCCTCGACCTTGAAAGTGCGGCGATAACAATCCGAGAGCTAACTAAAGATTGACTAACTCGGCTTACCTTCGTTTTCATTGTTGCCGATGACGATCTCGGTTTTATCGAAGTCCGAGTCGCGCAGCAGTTCCAGCGGGTCCTTCGGCAGAAACACACCGTCGATCGTCGGGGCCGAGGGAAAGCCCAGGATGCCACTGTAACTATTCCATTGCTGCACGGAAATGGTCTTTGCGTCGACAGACTTCATGCATTCCATCACCCGTGTCGCGTTCTCTTCCAACATACTCGAGTTACAATTGCAGTCCTGCACGAGGATTTGGGCGACCTCGTTGGCCTTCTCCGCGCTCATGTAGCTCCACGGCGCGTTAAGCGTGCCACTCTGCAGGATGCCGCGTCTCACCAATCCCCTCGTCACCGGCGACATTAGATGCAACGACACCGATCCCCCGCCCGCCGATTCCCCGAAGATCGTTATGCGATTGGGATCGCCCCCGAGGACCTTGGCGTTGTCCTTGAGCCACTGTAGCGCCATCGCCTGATCCCAGAGTCCCATGTTACCCGGTGCCTCGCCATCGTCCTCGAAGTACTGGCTCAGATAAAGAAAACCAAACGCCCCCACGCGGTACTGCATGGCTGCGACGATGGTATCGCTCTGCGCGGCCATAATTGCAGCGTCGTAGACGTCGAGAGTCGCGGTCCCGGTCATGTAGCCGCCCCCGTAAATCCAAACGAGGATGGGCATACCACCGTGATGGTCGGGCGACTCGGGGCTGCCCTTATGGCGGAGCCGCGGTCTCTTTGGCACCCAAACGTTCATGTAGAGGCAGTCCTCGCTCACGTTAGTGTTCGGGTTCCACATCTCCTCGCCCTCGAATCCCGGGAAGTAATCGTAGCGCTCCTGTATGCAGCTGTTGGGCATCCGAGTGGCGTTAAGTACACCGTGCCAAGGCTCGATGGGCTCGGGCTTGCGAAAGCGCAACGGACCGACCGGTGCTTTGGCGAACGGCACGCCGTAATAGCCGTGCACCTCGCGATCGAAAATCGTGCGCGAAAAGCCGCGCATTAGGCCGCTCGTCGTCTCGACGACCAGAGGATCGTCCGAAGGGTCCTCCTCGTACGCCTCCTTCCTGTCGTGAAACCCATCGTCGCTCGCTTCGACGCTTATGCTCGCCGGCTTAAACAGCAGCAGCAGCACTAACGATAGCGCCAGCATCGCCAACGATCCCATGACTCAACAAGTTACTCTATCCCTACCCTCCTCCACGTCCTGGGCGGCAGGGGTGGTTTAATCGCGCGCGATCAAGCGGCCAGTCTCCGGGCCCGATCTCGATTAATTATCCTGTCTTCTTAAGGCCGACGACGTATTGCCAGCATCTCGGGTGTACTGTACTCGGAGAAGGGCGCGTAGGTAGAATCGCGTTGACATAAGCCCAGTTAGCACAGTCGGACGTCGTCGGGCGCTTGTTCCCGTCGCCGCTCCGACAGCCGACGTCTTTCGTCCCAGCACTTGAATAAAATCACAGTCTTCCACCGCTGACTACCCGATCGACACTAGCCGACTCGCTTTGCGGCGATGGTTATGGCGATTTGGGCGTGCGGGGAGGTAATGATAAGGACTGGCCGACAAGGTATGAATGAGCGGTAAGCTGAGATCGCGGACAAATGAATATGGCGCGACGGCCAACGTGCCGCGTTGCACGGGGTCGACTGATCGCGGCCGCGACTTCGAGGTGGTGGTCGCAAATACTCCCGCCTCGTTCTCGCCGTCGAGCGTCGGGTGGTGGCATCGCGCAGCTGTATACGTGCGCGTAGCCGCTGCTCGCTGCTCTTGCGCGTTTCTCTGCGTGTGTAACGGTACAATCGCGCTCTATCGGTCCAATCGCGCTCTATCTCCCTCCCATCGCCCCCCCCCCCCTCCAAACCCGCCCCGCTCACCAATTTAACCGATTCCCCTCTCCCCACCGCGTCTCTGGCCAAACCAACCCACTAGCTCTCACTCGCTCTTCCTCTCCAACTCACTCTCTCTCTCCAAGTCACTCTCTCTCCAACTCTCCCTCTCTCCAACTCTCTCTCCCTCTCTCCAACTCTCTCCAAGTCACTCTCTCTCTCTCTCTCTCTCTCTCTCTCTCTCTCTCTCCGACTCTCTCTATCTCTTTACATATCGCCCCTCGCCCTTACCTACATTATATTTTTCCTGCGCCAATGTTTTCTTTCCTATATTGTAAGACGGTATCGCTTCGACTTTCAGATGTGCCCCCCTGCATGTACGCATTAACCCGCGCGAGAATCGAGATTATCTCGCCGATACTTTCAAACTTATGACCTCTCGTATATATTTCAATGATATTCACGTGTTATTAGAATATATTGTGACTGGAAAGACTGCTTGCTGGAAAAGATGTATTTTGTTATGAGAGAGATATGTATAGTAGTGCCTCTTCGTCTATCTTAATTTCTTCATCGAAAAATATCAGGACTTTCGTTTAGAGTAATAAAGCAGGAAAATTCTGTTGGCTAAAGTATTCGTTAAAGTTTCAAATTATTTTAAGCTTTTCGAGTTATATACTTTTCGCAGTTCTCTGTAGCGCAGTCGATTTAAAAATACTTACTTTTACAATTCAAAGTCTTTATTTATTTTATCTTATTAGAATTCAATCCGTTCAAACGAAGGAAAACGTTAAAATGATTAGAGATTATATCCTACGCAGATATTTAATCACATATTCGCTATTAATTAATGTATCATTCATTTATAATACCTTGTACACACACGCATTCACACACGCGCGCGCGCGCCCGAGCCTTTACAGCAGTAAAGTATATTCTATACGCAGAATACGTAAAGCATAAATTAACCGTAGAAAAGAAAAAAAATCTAAAAATTCAAAGAACCGATCTCAATGTCATACGAGTAAATAACCGAATATACGTTATTTCAGCCTCTATTATTTATATATAACTTTATATATTTCTTTATGTCTTTTGGGGGGGGGGGGTGGTATATCGATGGCACGAAAACAAGCGAAAAGTATTAAAATTGCAATTAGATAATTTTTTTTTCTCTTTTTTTCGAGTACATTAGTAGTTAAAATTTCCCATCACCAATATATCATAAATATTAATAAGATATAAAATAAGCTTTTTTCAATGTTTCCACAAACATATTCTTACAATTTACTTAATGAAAAAATAGTTTATATATAAATACACTTATTACTATACTTACAATTTACTTAATGAAAAAATAGTTTATATATAATAGATATTAATCGGCAAATTGTTTTAAAATTCAATTACATCACGTGGCTTTAACCATTTTCTTATGGATATTACCTTTTAATTACAAGACATGCTCGATTATACAAAAACATTTATATTATTACAAATGATTGTAGATAAAAAGCTACTCGGAATAATGAATGATCACACAAGTGGCATAATATAATTTTTAAAAAGAAAATTGCTACTAAAAATCTAAAATCATATTAAATACAGAAACAAATTCCGTAATTTTTTCAACATCTTTTTAAAATTGTATTAATAAAAGTTGAGTACCAATTATTCAGCAAATAAATGTTTAAAGGAAAGTCTGGAATTACTAATGAGGATTGACAATCAAACACTATCAAGTGATTCTTTTATTCTTATAATATACCATGGATTTATTTTATTTGAAACCATTCGTTCACCGAACGTGAGCTAAAAAATCGATCTCGGATCTTGTTGAAAAATAAATGAATCGCTATAACATTTGACTATTTGAAAATAATTTTTAGTCATTTCATTTCATTACAAATTATTTGCTTCCAAACAATGAAATTATGAAATCATTATGAAAGAAACTTTTTTCATATGTCTGTGCTTGCGTCCACGTTAGCATATCATACATATATATGTTTAAAGAGAGAAAGTGATTGAGTTTTCTTTGTCAAGTTATAAATGGAAAAGAGCAAGTAAAATATAATTTCCTATACTATATATTGAAAAAAATTTATTAACAGATATAACAAACATTTGTTGTATATACTAGAATGACAGTTGAATACATTTCAACCAATATTTTATACATAATCTCTCTCTCTCTCTCTCTCTCTCTCTCTCTCTATATATATATATATATATATATATATATATAAATTTATATAAAAATTTATTATAATTTTATTATTTTTCTATTTTAATAGGACATGTTTAATATTGCCGATTGCTTTTAATTTTGATTACTACAGAACAATTGTTTTGCTAATAGATACGACATTGATAGAACTAATGCATTGATAATCGTTATACTTCTCGTATTTTACGTTGTTTATTATCAATAAGAAAAATAATGCTTTCTATTCTTACGTACCAATTCGCCTAAACTCACTGCTTATAATTGCAACGTGCGCCTTGCGATTACTATGTAAGCCTGAATTTTCATAGAATCTTTAAGGCTTTGCATGCAAGAATAAATCAAGACTATAATTTTTATTTTTTTTTTTTTTTTTTTTTTTTTTTTTTTTTTACGAGGAGTAACAATATTTTTCATTGTGGTTTCAAGTTTTAATTGTATATAAAAAGCCCGTGTAGTCCTCCACTGAAAATACAAATTTAATAATCTTTCCAATAATAACACATTAGTTACACCAAGTATTATGTAAATAAGCCTGATGTACCTTGAATGACCTTTTAGTCTTTTGATAATAGTTTGGTAAGCGCAATGACTTATGTATCATTAGTGCTAACCTTATTATTACTACAGTGAGACAAAAACAGTAATCGAACACCATTTAACGGATGAAATGGTTGATATCAATAGAAGTTTATATGTCTTTTCAGCGACGATGCAGCTCCTTGATCGCCAGTAAAATAGGAAAAACGATGGTATACGTGCTCGGTGTCACCCCGACTAACTCTCCCGCACCTATTAATCACAGCATGAGAGAGAGAGAGAGAGAGAGAGAGAGAGAGAGAGGCGAAACGACACTGACTCAAGACGAATACATATACAATATCTATATAATTGCACATGAATATTACAAAAGGAGAGGCGCTGATTGCCGAGGCCGGATAAGTAAACGGGGACCGATAAAAGTGATCCGTCCAACGTTACGTGCACATGCATACGCGTAACTAACGATGAGAGTCACCGAAAGTCGCGTAGAGGGGAAATCACGCGGCCCGACCGTTGGATCCCAATTTCGCCGGTAGAAAATAAAGACAGATAGTTGGGTGGAGAGGGGGAGAGGCTCGAGGGGCAGAGGAGCGGATAACGAGCCTCTTCCGCCAACAATTGAAACGACAATGGAAGCCCTTTATCTCGCTCCGTCCCCCGGCCGTACCTCGAACAGGCCCGAGTAGTACCAGGAACACGCCGACGGCCGTTCGTTGCGCCCCCGACGCTCCAAGGGAGCCAAGGCGGAAAGTGCACTTTGCGCGCGGCAGTCGCGGACTCGACGCTGCGCCCCGGCCTCGCGACCCTCCCGACGCGCGCAGCTTCCACCGGAGCTCCAAAGGTCAAATGCGCGACCCCCGCGCACTTACTGCGCCGAGGCGCCGTCGCGTAAACGTGGTTACGTCGATGGAGGAACGATGCGCGTGAGAGGCCGGGGGACGGCGGACAGTGGAGGGGGCGGAGGGGGGGAGGGGGGCGCTTTTATTTCCCCGACTCGCGCGACGACTTTATTTTGCTGACGCCCCGGCGAGCGCGACGCTGGTCGTGGCGAAGAGGCACTCGGTGGGGCGTTTACCGGAACTTTAAAGCTCCGCGGCATAAAGTCGCACGCGACATTCATCCGAGTATTCTGATGCTACGTGTTGTTTGCTTGGCTTTGTGGTTGAGTGGAGATGTTATTTTCCGCGGCAGGCGCGCTTTTCGTCGGGCTTTGTTGAACCTTAGGGCATGACTTCGGGCTCCGTCATTAGGCTAATCATGTAGGGAGGACGCAGACCTTTACGACACTTGGATTATTAAAGTAATTACAGTGTCGATAATAAACATTGAAAGCTCAAAGCCGAAGATGTGTTTGATCCAACGATCGAGGAGGTGAATATGATTAATTGGCGATGCGTGCGACTGTGGAGCGTAGTTTTAGTGTATGATGCAGATCTAATTCTCCACGATAAACATTTGCCAACTTCAATAAATATTTCGACATCGAATTTAATGTTATGAAAATTGTTTGTCAG